CATTAGGATGTAATCCCACATCCTCCCGTTCTCCCTCTGCTCCCGTTCCCAACCTGGCTGCTCTGGGTCGGGATTTACTCCATAAATCCTCCAAGAGATCCCTCCCCTGGCCATGGAAAAGGTGTTTTCTGCCTCAAAATCCTGCTAACAAATCCATCCATCCGGGGTTCACAAGTCCTTATGGATGTGGATTGGGGGGGTGACCATGGAAGGACACCGCTGGCACTGGGGATGGGGTGATGCAGGGATGGGGTGATGCAGGGATGGGGTGATGCAGGGATGGGGTGATGCAGGGATGGAGTGATGCAGGGATGGGGTGATGCAGGGATGGGGTGATGCAGGGATGGGATGATGCAGGGATGGGGTGATGCAGGGATGGGGTGATGCAGGGATGGGATGATGCAGGGATGGGGTGATGCAGGGATGGGGTGATGCAGGGATGGGATGATGCAGGGATGGGGTGATGCAGGGATGGGGTGATGCAGGGATGGGGTGATGCAAGGATGGGGTGATGCAGGGATGGATGATGCAGGGATGGGGTGATGCAGGGATGGGGTGATGCAGGGATGGGTGATGCACGGATGGGTGATGCAGGGATGACAAACAGGATGGATGATGCAGGGATGGGGTGATGCAGGGATGGGGTGATGCAGGGATGGCGTGATGCAGGGATGGGGTGATGCATGGATGGGGTGATGCAGGGATGGGGTGATGCAGGGATGGATGATGGAGGGACGGGGTGATGCATGGATGGGATGATGCAGGGATGGGGTGATGCAGGGATGGGGTGATGCAGGGATGGGGTGATCACGGATGGGGTGATGCACGGATGGGGTGATGCAGGGATGGGGTGATGCAGGGATGGGGTGATGCAGGGATGGGGTGATGCAGGGATGGGGTGATGCAAGGATGGGGTGATGCAGGGATGGGATGATGCAGGGATGGGGTGATGCAAGGATGGGGTGATGCAGGGATGGGATGATGCAGGGATGGGGTGATGCAGGGATGGGGTGATGCAGGGATGGGGTGATGCAGGGATGGGGTGATGCAGGGATGGGGTGATGCAGGATGGGGTGATGCAGGGATGGGGTGATGCAGGGATGGGGTGATGCAGGGATGGGGTGATGCATGGATGGGGTGATGCAGGGATGGGGTGATGCAGGGATGGGATGATGCAGGGATGGGGTGATGCAGGGATGGGATGATGGAGGGACGGGGTGATGCATGGATGGGATGATGCAGGGATGGGGTGATGCAGGGATGGGGTGATGCAGGGATGGGATGATGCATGGATGGGGTGATGCTGGGGATGGGGTGATGCAGGGATGGGGTGATGCAGGGATGGGGTGATGCAGGGATGGGGTGATGCAGGGATGGGGTGATGCATGGATGGGGTGATGCAGGGATGGGGTGATGCAGGGATGGGATGATGGAGGGACGGGGTGATGCATGGATGGGATGATGCAGGGATGGGGTGATGCAGGGATGGGGTGATGCAGGGATGGGGTGATGCACGGATGGGATGATGCAGGGATGCTGTGAGCTTTGTCCCAGTGCTGCCTCCTTATTGCTGGTCCCAATTGATCTGTGGGGCAGGATGTTCACCCCTACCCATGGAAGGGAGGTGGAACTGGGTGACCTTAAGGTCCTTTCCAACCCACCCCATTCCATCACCCTATGATGGATGTCCTGCATCCCTCCTGTTGGTACCCTGTGCCTGGGGGATGGAGCATCCTGCTGTCCCCAGCATCCCCATGTTCCTGGATGCTCAGCACACAGCGGGGTGCTCGGTGTCACCACCAGCTCTGGGGGTCACCCCCCTCCACCCCAAAACCACCATGGGGCACGTGGAGCTTTGGGAGCCTTGGCACTGAAACACTTCTGAGTGCTCTGAATGGGGGAGCACAGGAGGAGGAGGATGCTGGGGCTGCCCCATCCCTGCAGTGCTCAAGGGCAGGTTGGACACAGGGGCTTGGAGCAAGCTGCTCTATGGAAGGGGTCCCTGCCCTATGGAAACGGATCCGTTCCCGTTCCCGTTCCCGTTCCGGTCCCAGGCTGCTTTTGTCTGCAGCGAGGAGCGGACCGGGGCTGAGCCCTGGTGCTGCCCGGAGCCTCCATGGGGCTCAGCGGTGTCCCCAGCAGCCATGTACCCCGTATCGCTGCCATCAGTGCCCAAATCTGCCCCTTCCTGCCCCTTCCTGCTCCCTCCTGCCCCTTCGTGCCCCTTCCTGCCCGTTCCTGCCCCTTCCTGCCCCCTCCTGCCCCTTCCTGCCCCCTCCTGCCCCTTCCTGCCCCCTCCTGCCCCCTCCTGCCCCTTCCTGCCCCCTCCTGCCCCCTCCTGCCCCTTCCTGCCCCCTCCTGCCCGCTCCTGCCCCTTCCTGCCCCTTCCTGCCCCCTCCTGCCCCTTCCTGCCTGCTCCTGCCCCGTTCCTGCCCCTTCCTGCCCGCTCCTGCCCGCTCCTGCCCCCTCCTGACCCCTCCTGCCCCCTCCTGCCCCTTCCTGCCCCCTCCTGCCCCTTCCTGCCCCCTCCTGCCCCTTCCTGCCCCCTCCTGCCCCTCCTGCCCCCTCCTGCCCCTTCCCTGCCCCTTCCTGCCCCTCCCTGCCTGCCCCTTCCTGCCCGCCCTGCCCCCTCCTGCCCCTCCCGCCCCTCCTGCCCCTCTGCCTCCTGCCCGCTCCTGCCCCTTCCTGCCCCTTCCTGCCCCTTCCTGCCCCCTCCTGCCCTCTCCTGCCCCTTCCTGCCCCCTCCTGCCCCCTTCCTTCCCCTTCCTGCCCGCTCCTGCCCGCTCCTGCCCCTGTGCGATGCTGGAGCACCCCCACAGCTCCCGGTCCCGCTGCCCCCCCCCCAGTGATGCTCCCCCGGGCTGCAGGGGGGGGTTCAGCTCCCGGGGGTGCTGAGCACGGCCCTGCCCCAGGGGGCGGAGGAGCCGGAGGCGCTGCTCTGGGGATGGACCCGGGCTGGGACCGGCTCCGGGGGGGCACGGACCCTGCCCGGGGGGGGGGGTGCGCCATGGCCGGGACAGCCACTTCCGCTGTTCCGTCAGCTGCACACCGGGGGGGGACGGGGCACGGAGCCCTTCACTTGCTGCGGAAGCGCTCGCTCTGTGTCCCCTCAACCAATCACAGACCCCGGCCCCATTGCTCAGGACCCAAGGATAGCCCCCCCCTTGCTTTAACCCCCCCCATTGCTCAGCATCCCCCATTGCTCAGGACCCCCAGGATAGCCCCCCCTTGCTTTAACCCCCCCATTGCTCAGCATCCCGCATTGCTCAGGAGCCCCAGGATAGCCCCCCCTTGCTTTAACCCCCCCCATTGCTCAGCATCCCCCATTGCTCAGGACCCCCAGGATAGCCCCCCCTTGCTTTAACCCCCCCATTGCTCAGCATCCCCCATTGCTCAGGACCCCCAGGATAACCCCCCCTTGCTTTAACCCCCCCCATTGCTCAGCATCCCCCATTGCTCAGGACCCCCAGGATAGCCCCCCCTTGCTTTAACCCCCCCATTGCTCAGCATCCCGCATTGCTCAGGAGCCCCAGGATAGCCCCCCCTTGCTTTAACCCCCCCCATTGCTCAGCATCCCCCATTGCTCAGGACCCCCAGGATAGCCCCCCCTTGCTTTAACCCCCCCCATTGCTCAGCATCCCCCATTGCTCAGGAGCCCCAGGATAGCCCCCCCTTGCTCTCAACCCCCCATTGCTCAGCATCCCGCATTGCTCAGGAGCCCCAGGATAGCCCCCCCTTGCTTTAACCCCCCCCATTGCTCAGCATCCCCCATTGCTCAGGACCCCAGGATAGCCCCCCCTTGCTTTAACCCCCCCATTGCTCAGCATCCCCCATTGCTCAGGACCCAAGGATAACCCCCCCCTTGCTTTAACCCCCCCCATTGCTCAGCATCCCCCATTGCTCAGGACCCCCAGGATAGCCCCCCCTTGCTTTAACCCCCCCCATTGCTCAGCATCCCCCATTGCTGACACCCCCCCATTGCTCTAACCCCCACAGACCCCCATTGCTCAGCATCCCCCATTGCTCAGTATCCCCCCCATTGCTCAGTATCCCCCCCATTGCTCTAATCCCCACAGACACCCATTGCTCAGCATGCTTCATTGCTCAGGAGCCCCCCATTGCTCAGGACCCCCCCATTGCTCAGCATCCCCCATTGCTCAGTATCCCCCCCATTGCTCAGTATCCCCCATTGCTCAGGATCCCCACCATTGCTCTAATCCCCACAGACACCCATTGCTCAGCATCCTTCATTGCTCAGGAGCCCCCCATTGCTCAGCATCCCCCATTGCTCAGTATCCCCCCATTGCTCAGCATCCCCCGTTGCTCAGTATCCCCCCCATTGCTCAGTATCCCCCCCATTGCTCTAATCCCCACAGACACCCATTGCTCAGCATCCTTCATTGCTCAGGAGCCCCCCATTGCTCAGGACCCCCCCATTGCTCAGCATCCCCCATTGCTGACACCCCCCCATTGCTGACACCCCCCCCATTGCTCTAATCCCCACAGACCCCCATTGCTCAGGACCCCCCCATTGCTCAGCATCCCCCATTGCTGACACCCCCCCATTGCTCTAACCCCCACAGACCCCCATTGCTCAGGACCCCCCCATTGCTCAGCATCCCCCCCATTGCCCAGCAACCCCCATTGCTCAGGACCACCCCATTGCTCAGCATCCCCCATTGCTCAGGACCCCCAGGACCCCCCCATTGCTCAAACCCCCCCCATCGCAAAGCCCCCCCCATTGCTCCCCCCCCCCCCATCATTTCCCCCCCTTCCCCGAAGACGCCGTTGCCAGGCGACGCCCGACGCTCCCGGCATGCCCCGCGCGGCTGTTGCCATGGCAACGGGACGCGGCGAAGATGGCGGCGGCGGGGGTCCCGCAGCGCTGTACGCGTGGTTGGACTCGGTGCCGCTGTCCCGGCCCCGCAGGAACCTGGCCCGGGACTTCAGCGACGGCGGTGGGGGGGGAACGGGACCGGACGGGACCGGGCGGGGGAGCGGGGCACGGGGCACGGGGGGCCGGGTACGGGAGGGCCGCAGCCCCGCAGGCCCCGCAGGCCCCGGAGGCCCCGCAGGCCCCGGAGGCCCCGTAGGCCCCGTAGGCCCCGCAGGCCCCGTAGGCCCCGGAGGCCCCGCAGTGCTGAGCCCCGCCCGTGGCCCCGCAGTGCTGGCGGCAGAGCTGGTCCGGTTCTTCCTGCCCGGCCTGGTGCAGCTGCACAGCTACGTCCCCGCCTGCGCCACCCCGCAGAAGCTCGCCAACTGGGCACACCTCAACCGGTAACCGCAGGCCCGCACTGCCCCTGCCCCACAGGGACCCTGCCCCACAGCATCCCCCTGCCCCACAGGGACCCTGCCCCACAGTGGCCCTGCCCCATTGCACCTCTCCTGCCCCACAGTGACCCTGACCCACTGCACCTCCCCTGCCCCACAGCATCCCTCTGCCCCTCAGGGACCCTGCCCCACAGTGACCCTGCCCCGTTGCACCTCCCCTACCCCACTGGGACCATGCCCCACTGGGACCGTGCCCCACAGGGACTCTGCCCCACAGGGACCCTGCCCCACAGGGACCCTGCCCCACAGGGACTCTGCCCCATTGCACCTCCCCTGCCCCACAGGGACCCTGCCCCACAGCATCCCCCTGCCCCACAGGGACCCTGCCCCACACGGACCCTGCCCCACAGGGACCCTGCCCCATTGCACCTCCCCTGCCCCACAGGGACCCTGCCCCACTGCCCCACAGCATCCCTCTGCCCCTCAGGGACCCTGCCCCACAGGGACCCTGCCCCACAGCATCCCCCTGCCTCCCAGTGACCCCTGCCCCCCAGTGACCCCTGCTCCCCAGTGACCCCTGCCCCATTTCACATCCCCCCTGCCCCACAGCAACCTCAACCCCACAGCACCTCCCCTGCCCCACATTATCCCCCTGCCCCACAGTGTCCCTCTGTCCCCCACTGTGTCCCTGCCCCACAGCACCCTCAGTGCCCCACAGCACCCCCTGCCCCACAGCGCCCCCTGGTCCACAGCATCCCCTTACCCTCCCGTGTCCCTGTGTGCCTGAATGGAGCATCCACAACCTCCCTGGGCACCCATTCCAGTGCCTCACCACCCTCCCAGTAAAGAACCTCCTTATCTCCAATCTAAACATCCCCTGTTCCAGTCTGAACCCATCACCCCTTGCCCCCAATGAACCCTCCCTCCCCACCATCCCTACACCCCCTTCAGTGCTCTATGGGGCAGAGGCTGCCCCCTTCTCCTCCCGTTGTCCCCCTTGCAGGAAGGTGCTGAGCAAGCTCAACTGCTGCCTGCCTCCCGCAGCCCTGCTGCAGCTGGCGCAGGCCCGGCCGGGTGCAGCGGAGCGGCTCCTGCTGCTGCTGCGGAGCCGCATCCAGGAGAGGCTGCAGCAGGGCCGGGTGGGTGCGGGCTGCAATGGGACCTCAATGGGCCCCTTCCATAGAGCGGCTTCCATAGGGCCCCTGTGTCCAACGTGGCCTTTAATGGGGTAGCCCCATCCCCATGCCCCACTGCCCTCATAGGGAAGAGCATCCCCTCCTCACCCCATCCCTGCATCCCTTGTCCCCAGCCCCTCTCCACCTTCCCTCTGCTATAAAACCCCACATTGGCCATGGTCTGGTTTAGTCCTTAGCAAAGCTTTTGGCACATTCAAGCAGTTCAATTCCCCCTTAAAGCCTTTGATTAGGAAGGGTTATTCCTTCTTCCCTTTCATCATCGTATCCACAGGAGCATCCATCCCAATCTGATTGTCCCCATACATCCCACCCATGATTCCCCATGCCACCCCAATGATGACAAGGTTGCTCATTCCTATCTCCCTCACACCTCCAGGCCCTCGAGATGCTCTGAGCTCCCTATGGGATTCAGGCAGCCACAGCCCCTCCAACCCACCTGCACCCCCCCATCCCAGCCTCCCTGTCCCCCATATGCTCCCTTCCCATTGTCCACCCCACATCCATCCATGGGGTGACCCCTATCTCGTATCCAGGCCTTATGGATCTTTCCCTGCTCTCTCTATACAGGATCCGGGTGTCCCGGCAGCAGTGGGGGAGCGCAGCTACATGGAGACGGGTACAGCATCCCTGTATCCCATTGGGGCACACACCCCAATAGCGACCCTAGGAGGGGGTCAGCTCCTGCTCTAACTCCTCTGTGATCCAGGGCACCCCAAGGCAGGAGGAGGCAGCAGCCAGGAGTCTCCCAATGCTGCTGGGTAAGGGCAGGGATGCTCCATAGGGATGCTCCATAGGGATGCTCCATAGGGATGCTGGAGCGGTGCTGGGATGCCAGCAGCACCCATGGCCTATGCAGGTCCATGAGTGATGCTCGGGTGGGGGGGTCAATGGTTATCCCAGTGTTCCCATTCCCAATCCAGGGCTGTGAACCAGCACACAGAACAGGAGAAGGCGCTGCTCCTGGCACAGGAAACCATCCAGGTGAGTGCCCCATTCCTTATCCCAGCTCCCCTTTACCTCCCACCCATCCCATGCCACATTCCTTGGCTGCATCCCGCTCTGGAGGCACCCTTGGATGTGGGATGCATCAATCCATGATTCCCAAAGGATGCTCATCCTTTGTGCCCGGTGATGAGGGTGACACAGAACGGGTTCTGTGCCTAAAAGCGAGGTTTTTCCCATTGGAAAACATAGTTTAAGGTGTAAAATTCCCGGTGCTGGGAATGCTGGGCTTGGGGTTTAAGGTCCTTTGCAATAGGGACCCCAAATGCAACCCCACAAGATCCCTTCCTGCCTCAGCCTCCCCCTATGAATGGATGCTCTGGGATGAGGCTGCTCCCAGGCCCCCATCCCGGAGCTGCAGGCCCCGATCCCATTGGGAATGCCGCAGATCCTGCAGCTGAAGGTGCGCAGGTTGGAGGAGCTGCTGCGCCTCAAGGACGTGCGCATCGACGACCTGAGCCGCCTGCTGCGGGAGGCCCAGCGCCGCTGAGCCCCCTGCTTCCCAGTGCTTCCCAGTGCTCCCAGTGACACCATTCCAGTGGGAATGCGGTGACCAACTCAGCGCACGGCTCTGATTCATCCCATCCTTCTCACACCACTGATAATGGGAATTAAATATCCCTGTTGTTGTTTGGAGGCTGTGATAGGGTCCCGGGGGGGCATTTCCCAGTGGATCCGGTTGGGATCTGTGGGGTTTGGATGTCACTTGGCCCGATGCTGGGATTTAATCCCATTCCCGAAGCTGTTTGGTTCTGTTATCCTTAGGGAAATCCATGCCTGGGTTGTTCAGCCTAGGATAGGATGGGATGGGAACGTTGCTGGGAATGGGATTCCATTCCATTCCATTCCATTCCTCCCTGGTGACATTCCCAACCCTGGGGACATGGGCACATCCCATGGCATTCCCTGCTGTGCCCAGGGCACCTTTAGGGTCAATCCCACTTGGGTTTTCCCATATGAGGATGTGATGTATCCCATTCCAGGCTGAGCCATGTTCAAGGACACGCGTCATCACGTGTTATCACATGTTATCACGTGTTATCACATGTTATCCCGTGTTGTCCCGTGTTGTCCCCATCACTTTAAGCTCTCTGGCAGCTGTCGGCTCCGAAGGGAACGTTGTCCCCATGGGAACACGCTCCGGCTGCTTTTCCCAGCCTCGATTCCCCCGCAGCTGCCGGATCCCCGCATCCCTTGGGATCCGCGGCCCTTTCCCGTGCTCCGGTTCATGGGGAGACGTGATGGGAGCTGCAGGAGGTGGGAGGGGATTGGGATAGGAGGGGTTTGGATGGGATAGGACGGGTTTGAATGGGATAGGATGGGTTTGAGTGGGATGGGGTGGGATATGGGATGGGGTGGAATGAGCTGGGATGGGATGGGATGAGATGAGGTGGGATGGGGAGGGAATGAGGTGGGATGCAACAGGATGGGATGGGGTGAGATATTGGGTGGGATAAGATGGGGTGGGATGGGATGAGATTGGGATGGGATGAGATATGATGGGATGAGATGGGATGGGTTGGGATGGGATGAGATTGGGATGGGTTGGGATGGGATGAGATGGGATGGGATGAGATGGGATGGGGTGGGTTGGGAGGGGATGAGATGGGATGGGATGAGATAGGATGGGATGAGATGGGATGGGATGAGATGGGTTGGGATGGGATGAGATTGGGATGGGTTGGGATGGGATGGGATGGGATGGGATGGGATGAGATGGGATGGGATGAGATGGGATGGGATGAGATTTGATGGGATGAGATAGGATGGGATGGGATGCAATATGGGATGGGATACGGGATACAGGATATGCAGTGGGATGGGCTGGGCCATCCCTGCCCAGCTGCCCTGCCTGGGCCCCAGCTCGGTTCCCAGCACCCTCCAGTATCCCCCATGGGGCCAGGATGAGCCGAGGGCAGACAGGGGCAGGAGGGACCCGGCTCCTGCCGCTTCCACCTTCCCTTAAGGGCCCGAGGGCTTCGGCTCCAGCACCGGGGCTGCCCCCCTGCTGCCCCACACGGCCCCGAGCCCTCAGTGCCGCCTTTTGCCTGTTTTAACTTGAATTAACCCCAAACCGGGGGGTTCATCCTGGGAGGTTCCCACCCGTTCCCACCCCTTCGATGGCTCCGGCCTGTCGCGACACATCGTCTGGCCTGTCGCGACATGTCGTCGCGCTGCCGCGATCGGGGCCTGGACGGTAACAATGATCACGTGTTGCCATGGCAACCGCATCACTCGATAAAGGGGGTACCCCCAACTCACCCCTACCCTCGCTGCTCGCTACCCATTGGCTAAACCAGCCCTTGGCCACGCCCCTTAGCGACAGTTCCGCCCCTTGGCGACGACCCGGTGGGCGTGGTTTGGCGGGCTCCCCCGCCAAAGGTGTGAACGAATGGGAAAGCGCGGAGAGTGTGTCGGGGCCAATGGGAAGGGAGGGGGCGGGTCCCGGTAGTGGGAAGCGGGGAGCCGGGAGCGCGGCGGCGGCGGCGACCGGGACGCACCGGGCGGGGTGAGCCATGGAGGGGGGGAACGGGAACGGGAACGGGAACGGGAACGGGAACGGGAACGACCCCCGGGGCGGTGACACCGAGAAAGGGGGGTCCCGGTGCCGCGGTCCCGATGGGGCTCGCCCGGACGGGTCGTTACCCCATGGCCGTGAATGGGACCACCGGGGGGGGGCCCGGGATGCGGCACTGACCCCCGCAAGGGCAACGGGAGCCCGCGGGTGCGTTCGGGTGTTCCCGTTGGATCTCGGGTGTTCCCGGCGGGGTTTGAGCCTCAGCTTTGGGGTGCCTGGCCCCGAGGAGGCGGGGGGTGAGTCCCGGTGTCCGCCGGTCTCGAGGGGTGCCGGTGGGGACCCCCGTTATCGGCGTGGGGGGGGGGCACAGTCATTGGCCAGGCCGGAGAGAGCAGTGATTCCCATGGGAAACCCCAAGGAAAGGGATGGGACCGGGGGGGGTCCGTGATGGGGTCTGCGCTGTTCCCACTCGGTTCGGCTCCCGGAGCCTCCGTGCGGAGCGGGAATGGGGAAACTGAGGCACGGGGTGGGTTTGGGTGCGAATCCCCCTTTTCCAGGCTCTCCGGTCCCGGTCCCACCTCGGGCTCCTCCTGCTGCTCCTTGCCCATCCCTGCCCCTTCCCTCCCCAGCTCCCGCGATCCCAAAGGATGGCCCCGTCCTGCCCCTGCCTTTGAAGTGCGGAGCGAGCCCCATCGCTGCGGGGCCTCATGGCCACGGCCCGCAAGGGTGAGTCCCGCATCCCTGCCCCTTGTCTCCATATCCCTTCCCTGCCCTGGTCCGTGTCTGATGCTCTTCTTCCTGCTCCGTATCAGAGGCTACTGAATCCCAAGGGAATGCTGCCACCCTCTTCCCACCACACGCGAGCATCCCCCGAGGTGCTTATGGCAGGGGGGGTCCGTTGGGTACCACGAGCATCCCCCAAGGTGCTTATGGCAGGGGGGGTCTGTTGGGTACCACGAGCATCCCCCGAGGTGCTTATAGCAGGGGGGTCCGTTGGGTACCACGAGCATCCCCCAAGGTGCTTATGGCAGGGGGGGGTCCGTTGGGTACCACGAGCATCCCCCGAGGCGCTTATGGCGGGGGGGTCCCTTGGGTACCACGAGCATCCCCCAAGGTGCTTATGGCAGGGGGGGTCAGTTGGGTACCACGAGCATCCCCCAAGGTGCTTATGGCAGGGGGGTCCGTTGGACCACACATCCCCCGAGGCGTTATGGCGGGGGGGTCCTTGGGACCACGGCATCCCCCAGGTGCTATAACAGGGGGTCGTTGGCCAGCATCCCCAGTGCTATCAGGGGGGTCGTTGTACCACACTGGGGGGGTCGTGGAAGACATCCCCGAGGCGCTTATAACAGGGGGGGTCCATTGGGTACCACGAGCATCCCCTGAGGTGCTTATGGCAGCGGGGGTCCGTTGGGTACCACGAGCATCCCCCGAGGTGCTTATGGCAGGGGGGGTCCGTTGGGTACCACGAGCATCCCCTGAGGTGCTTATAACGGGGGGGGTCCGTTGGGTACCACGAGCATCCCCCAAGGCGCTTATGGCAGGGGGGGTCCGTTGGGTACCACGAGCATCCCCCAAGGTGCTTATGGCAGGGGGGTTCCGTTGGGTACCACGAGCATCCCCCGAGGTGCTTATAGCAGGGGGGGTCCGTTGGGTACCACGAGCATCCCCTGAGGTGCTTATCACGGGGGGGGTCCGTTGGGTACCACGAGCATCCCCCAAGGCGCTTATGGCAGGGGGGTCCATTGGGTACCACGAGCATCCCCCGAGGTGCTTATGGCAGGGGGGGTCCGTTGGGTACCACGAGCATCCCCCGAGGCGCTTATGGCAGGGGGGGTCCTTGGCACCAGCATCCCCCAGGTGCTTATGGCGGGGGGGTCCGTTGAAAACATACCACACACCCCCACACACCACAACACCCCCACACACCACCACACCCCACCACCCACCACACACCCCACACACACCACACACCCCCACACACCACCACAACCACACACACCACACACCCCCACACCCACACCCACACCCGCGTACCACGAGCATCCCCCGAGGCGCTTATAACGGGGGGGTCCGTTGGGTACCACGAGCATCCCCCGAGGTGCTTATAACAGGGGGGGTCCGTTGGGTACCACGAGCATCCCCTGAGGTGCTTATAACAGGGGGGGTCCGTTGGGTACCACGAGCATCCCCCGAGGCGCTTATAACGGGGGGGTCCCTTGGGTACCACGAGCATCCCCCGAGGTGCTTATAACAGGGGGGGTCCGTTGGGTACCACGAGCATCCTTCAGCCGCGGTCCCCCGCACAGCAGCGCTGCCATGGGATGTGATGGGTACCAGGTGCTCCCACTATCTCCCAGCTTAAAGGGCTCTGGATACTGGGAACGGGGAGACAGGACCCCAAAGTGCTCTGATCGAGGTGCCCCATGTGGCAGCCCCAAGACAAAGAGCGAAGAGGCTCTTTGTGATGCACAGTTCCAGCTCCTTTGTGTGCTCCGGCATCCCTGGCTGCATCCCATGGGATTCCCTCCTCATCCATCCTTCCCAGCGGGATGAGGGCCGGGCGAGTGCCCCATTGGTGGCGATGGGAAAGGCCATCAGGTTGCCTTGCACTGGGAATCTTGCTCCCAGTAGCATTGGGAAAGAGTCCCTGAGTGCTTCCCAGTTCTTCCCTGGGAACACTGGGACCTGAGGACTCTCATTCCCTGGTGGAACCCACTTCCAAGGCTTGTGATTCCTATTGGCACGTGTGATACAGGGGTCAGACCCCCCCAAAGCCATGGCTGCGGTGGTACCCATGGTTTCCAGGCAATCCCAGTTATCCCCTTGTGGTCACTGGGATGCGGGCACTGATCCGGTTCCCTATGGATCCCACTGCTGCCTTCCCAGGCTGGATTCCCTTGGGATACCCCATCCCGGGCACCCCTCCAAGCACTGTGTGACAGAGCCTCATGGTTGGGCTTTTCCCTGCCTTAATTCCTAGCAGGAATTAGGGTTTGGCTGCTCCCTGCCCTATGGGATCCATGGGCTCACCCTGGTCCCTCTGTGTCCCGTTCCCCATGGCCAGTATCCGGGTCTCCCAGTCTATCCCTGGGGATGGCTGCTCCCGGGTCATTAAATCCCAGCCATTCCCAGCACAAAGAGCCTGTTCTTTAGGGAGAAGGCAATCTGCTCCCAGCTGCTTCCAGATGGATGCTGGAGGCCGGATAAGGGGGGGCATTGGGATGTGCTGTGGGGCAGGATTTCCCTTGGGAGCTGATCCCATTGCAGGGGAGCCCATGGGGACCTCGCACAGGGATGATGCGGGTTTGGGTTTTCCCATGGGATTTGGTACCCTGGAGAGCCCTGGGGTGTGCGGGATCCCTTCCCTGGGGATGCTGCCCTTGTCCCGTCCATGTCCCCCTTCCTGTGTATGCGCTCATCCCAGTCCCCTGTGCTGACTGAGCAAATGGTGCTGGGCATGGGGGTTGATGGACCCCATGCTTCTGGGCATCGCTGGTCCAGATCCAGGATGTGGATGTGGAGCTGGGGACATGGGGATGGGGATGGAGCTGGGGATGTGGGGATGGAGGTGGAGCTGGGGACATAGGGATGTGGGGATGGGGACATGGGGATATGGGGATGGGACATGGGGATGTGGGGATGGGGATGGAGGTGAAGCTGTGGATATGGAGCTGGGGATGTGGGGATGGAGGTGGAACTGGGGACATAGGGATGTGGAGCTGGGGATGGAGGTGAAGCTGTGGATATGGAGATGGGGATGTGGGGATGGAGCTGGGGATGTGGGGATGGGGATGTGGGGATGGAGGTGGAACTGGGGACATGGGGGTGTGGAGCTGGGGATGGGGATGTGGGGATGGAGCTGGGGATGGGGATGTGGGGATGGAGGTGGGGATGTGGAGATGGGGATGTGGAGCTGGGGATGGAGCTGGGGATGGAGCTGGGGATGTGGGGATGGAGGTGGAACTGGGGACATAGGGATGTGGAGCTGGGGATGGAGGTGAAGCTGTGGATATGGAGCTGGGGATGTGGGGATGGAGCTGGGGATGTGGGGATGGGGATGTGGGGATGGAGGTGGAACTGGGGACATGGGGATGTGGAGCTGGGGATGGAGGTGAAGCCGTGGATATGGAGATGGGGATGTGGGGATGGAGCTGGGGACATGGGGATGTGGGCCTGGGGAGATGGGGATGTGGGGATGGAGGAGATGGGGATGTGGGGATGGAGGAGATGGGGATGTGGGGATGGAGGTGGAACTGGGGACATGGGGGTGTGGAGCTGGGGATGAAGCTGGAACTGGGGACATGGGGCTGTGGATAGAGCTGGGGATGGAGCTGGGGATGTGGGGATGGAGCTGGGGATGTGGGGATGGAGGTGGAACTGGGGACATGGGGGTGTGGATAGAGATGGGGCTGTGGGGCTGGAGCTGGGGCTGTGGGGATGGGGACATAGGGATGTGGATGTGGGGCTGTGGCTGTGGGGCTGTGGATGTGGGGCTGTGGATGTGGGGCTGTGGATGTGGGGCTGTGGATGTGGGGCTGTGGATGTGGGGCTGGGGCTGTGGGGCTGGAGCTGGGGCTGTGGAGCTGTCACTGCTGCCATGGGCGCTGCTGGGGCTCCGTGCCCTCAGGGGTGACCCCGTCCTCCTCTCCCCCCCCCCCCCACGCAGGCAGCAAGGCCAAGGGGGGCTCCGTGCGCTTCGCCCCCGCGCAGCCCCCCGAGGGCTCCCACGGCCACGTCCGCTTCGAGGAGCAGCTCCACGACTCCGCCGTGACCGTGACGCAGGAGGGGGATGGGAGCTTCCTGGTGAAGGTGGGGGGGGGGCGCTCCCAGCTCCGCCTCCATCCCCTTTCCAGTCTGGGAACGGCCCCGGCCCCGTTGCAGCGCTGGGAACGGCCCCGTTATCCCCCTGGTTTAGGCAGGGAGAGCCGGGAGCATCCCGATCCATCCCTGCAGGCGGCTGTTCAGCGCTCCCAGTGCTCCCAGTTAACTCCCAGTTTGCTGCTTTCCCAGCAATGGGGCAGGTTTGGGGGGGTCCCCATCACTGATGGGGCAAACTGGGGGGGCTCCTGGTCCTGCTGCACTCAGGGGGGGATGCGGCACCATCGCCTGTGCCCTGGTGTGGGGACAGGGCTGAGCTGTGGGTGCTTCCATGCCACGGATGGGGAGCATGGGCCCAGGGCTGGGGGCTCCATCCCTCAGGTCCTCATCCCTCATCTCCTCCATCCCTCATCTCCTCATCCCTCATCTCCTCCATCCCTCATCTCCTCATCTCCTCATCTCCTCATCCCTCATCTCCTCATCCCTCATCTCCTCATCCCTCATCTCCTCATCCCTCATCTCCTCATCCCTCATCTCCTCATCCCTCATCTCCTCCATCCCTCATCTCCTCATCCCTCATCTCCTCCATCCCTCATCTCCTCCATCCCTCATCTCCTCCATCCCTCATCTCCTCCATCCCTCATCTCCTCATCCCTCATCTCCTCATCCCTCATCTCCTCCATCCCTCATCTCCTCATCCCTCATCTCCTCATCCCTCATCTCCTCCATCCCTCATCTCCTCCATCCCTCATCTCCTCCATCCCTCATCTCCATCCCTCATCTCCTCCATCCCTCATCTCCTCCATCCCTCATCTCCTCCATCCCTCATCTCCTCACCCCTCATCTCCTCACCCCTCATCTCCTCCATCCCTCATCTCCTCCATCCCTCATCTCCTCATCCCTCATCTCCTCATCCCTCATCTCCTCCATCCCTCATCTCCTCATCCCTCATCTCCTCATCCCTCATCTCCTCATCCCTCATCTCCTCCATCCCTCATCTCCTCATCCCTCATCTCCTCATCCCTCATCTCCTCCATCCCTCATCTCCTCCATCCCTCATCTCCTCATCCCTCATCTCCTCATCCCTCATCTCCTCATCCCTCATCTCCTCCATCCCTCATCTCCTCATCCCTCATCTCCTCCATCCCTCATCTCCATCCCTCATCTCCTCATCCCTCATCTCCTCCATCCCTCATCTCCTCCATCCCTCATCTCTGCATCCCTCATCTCCTCCATCCCTCATCTCCTCATCCCTCATCTCCTCCATCCCTCATCTCCTCCATCCCTCATCTCCTCATCCCTCATCTCCTCCATCCCTCATCTCCTCATCCCTCATCTCCTCCATCCCTCATCTCCTCATCCCTCATCTCCTCATCCCTCATCTCCTCCATCCCTCATCTCCTCATCCCTCATCTCCTCCATCCCTCATCTCCTCATCCCTCATCTCCTCCATCCCTCATCTCCTCATCCCTCATCTCCTCCATCCCTCATCTCCTCATCCCTCATCTCCTCATCCCTCATCTCCTCATCCCTCATCTCCTCCATCCCTCATCTCCTCCATCCCTCATCTCCTCCATCCCTCATCTCCTCCATCCCTCATCTCCTCATCCCTCATCTCCTCCATCCCTCATCTCCTCCATCCCTCATCTCCTCATCCCTCATCTCCTCATCCCTCATCTCCTCCATCCCTCATCTCCTCATCCCTCATCTCCTCCATCCCTCATCTCCTCATCCCTCATCTCCTCCATCCCTCCTCTCCTCATCCCTCATCTCCTCCATCCCTCATCTCCTCCATCCCTCATCTCCTCATCCCTCATCTCCTCATCCCTCATCTCCTCCATCCCTCATCTCCTCATCCCTCATCTCCTCCATCCCTCATCTCCTCATCCCTCATCTCCTCCATCCCTCATCTCCTCCATCCCTCATCTCCTCCATCCCTCATCTCCTCCATCCCTCATCTCCTCCATCCCTCATCTCCTCCATCCCTCAGCTCCTCCATCCCTCATCTCCTCATCCCTCATCTCCTCCATCCCTCATCTCCTCCATCCCTCATCTCCTCATCCCTCATCTCCTCCATCCCTCATCTCCTCATCCCTCATCTCCTCATCCCTCATCTCCTCCATCCCTCATCTCCTCCATCCCTCATCTCCTCCATCCCTCATCTCCTCATCCCATCTCCTCCATCCCTCATCTCCTCCATCCCTCATCTCCTCCATCCCTCATCTCCTCCATCCCTCATCTCCTCCATCCCTCATCTCCTCCATCCCTCATCTCCTCCATCCCTCATCTCCTCATCCCTCATCTCCTCCATCCCTCATCTCCTCCATCCCTCATCTCCTCATCCCTCATCTCTGCATCCCTCATCTCCTCATCCCTCATCTCCTCATCCCTCATCTCCTCCATCCCTCATCTCCTCCATCCCTCATCTCCTCATCCCTCATCTCCTCATCCCCTCATCTCCTCATCCCTCATCTCCTCATCCCTCATCTCCTCATCCCTCATCTCTCATCCCTCATCTCCTCATCCCTCATCTCCTCATCCCTCATCTCCTCATCCCTCATCTCCTCCATCCCTCATCTCCTCATCCCTCATCTCCTCCATCCCTCATCTCCTCCATCCCTCATCTCCTCATCCCTCATCTCTGCATCCCTCATCTCCTCATCCCTCATCTCGTCATCCCTCATCTCCTCTCCATCCCTCATCTCCTCATCCCTCATCTCCTCATCCCTCATCTCCTCCATCCCTCATCTCCACATCCCTCATCTCCTCCATCCCTCATCTCCTCCATCCCTCATCTCCACATCCCTGAGCTCCTCACCCACTGCAAGCTGGAGCAGAGGGAATGGGGCCGGAGCACCACGGGGCCTTGTGCCAATGGCTGTGATGGGCACCTGGAGCCGCTTCACCACATCCATCCCTGGCAGTGCCCAGGGCCAGGCTGGAGCATCCTGGTCCAGCAGAATCTGTCCCTACCCCTGGAACAGGATCTAATCCCCCTTCAACCCAACCCATTCCATGACTCCATCCCCTGCATCCCACCCTCTGCCTGTGGAGCTCCCCCAGCTCTGAGTCAGCGCCTGCTCTCGGGTGGGTGATGGGATGGATCCCTCCCTCGATCCCGCACGGAATTGCTTAGCAATCACCAGCCTGTGGGTGGGATGCTCTTGTTTTCCCCCTGTGCCGTGTACCGGCACGTGCTGGGAATGGTGGTGGTGATGGTGGTGGGGGGGGGCTGCAGCTCTTCCCTATGGATAGGTTCTGGGATGCACCCCCCCATCGTGTTCCCTATGGGGGATTTGGTGCAGTGGGTACCCCTCATCCTCATCCCAGCCCTGCCATAGGGTGGGTTTGCATCCGGAGCGCTGTGCTCCTTCATCCCAACCATGGCTTTGTATGGAGCTGGATGGGGCTCAGAGGGATGACAGGGGGGGAGCATCCTGCCTTGGGGAGACCAGGAGCAGCGGTGGAGCTCATGGATGATGCGCTGTTATCCCAGTTAGCCATGGAACACCCCCCCCACTGCATCCCATGGATGCGGGAATGGGATCAGGCATCACAGGACCTCTTCCCATGGGAAACCCAGCCCGGCCCCATTGCGTGGCCCCCATTCCAGGTGGGATTCCTGAAGATCCTGCACAAATACGAGATCACCTTCGTGCTGCCATCGCTGTGGGGCACGGGGGGGGAGCTGTGCCCCGTGCCCCTGCCCAGCCTCAACCTGCGCCTCACCGGCATCACCGCCCTGCCTGAAGGTAAAGCCTGGACCAGTCCCTTGGAGAGGGGTTTGGGATGAGGGATGCAGGGACAGGGCAATGGGAATGGCTTGAAGCTACCCAGGGGGTGATGGATGGGATACAGGGAATGGGGGGGGGATTGAATGGAGGAGATGTGGCTGCCCCATCCCTGCAGTGCTCAAGGGCAGGTTGGACACAGGGGGTTGGAGCATGGAAGGGGTTGGAGCTGGATGGATTGAAGCTCCCTTCATCCCAACCCATTCCATGGCTCCATCTCCATGGGTGAGGGACCCCCCCAGAGCACTTCCCAGTCCCAGCCTCATCCTATCCCGGCTGCTTTAACCCCAATCCTCATTGTTCCCATTGCACATCCCAGGATGCTCCCTCCCATCCCTGTGTGCTTCAGGAGCGGCTTTTGTGGCATCCAAGCACAGAAGAGCATGGATACAGGGGCAGGTTTAGCTCCTTTGCCTGCACCAAGGGGCTGCTGCAGGAGCCAGGGCTCACCTCTGGCATCATGGAATGGGTTGGGATGAAGGGACCTTAAAGCTCATCCAGCCCCAAGGACCCCTTCCATTGGAGCAGCTTGCTCCAAGCCCCTATATCCAACCTGTTCCTCTGCATCCTCCTTCCTCCCCATCCTTCCTCATTCCCATCCCATCCCATCCCCTGCATCCCCACGTCTCCCCATTACTCATCACCTGCAGCTGGGAGCCTGGAAGCTCTTTTATCCCCGATAGGCATCAATCACCTGCGCCTTGTTGTGGGGTCGGATCCCTTTGGGATGTGGGAGGGCACCAGCGGATGTGGGTTGGTGACGCAGAGCCCACGGGCTCTGGGGATGGGGATGAGGATGGGGTTTGATCCAGGAGGCCCCAGCCTGGCTCTGGGTTGGGGTCCCCTCATCATCAGCGTTCCCATAGGAGCAGGGATGTGCCATGGAGGCACCCGAGCATCCCCCTGGGCTCTGTGGCTGGGAACACCTCAGCTGGTCCCATGCCAACCGCTCCCATTGATGCATCCCATGGGAGCTGCTTCCCGCATCCCTGGCCCCATCCCAGCCCTTACAGCTCCCTTTGGAGCTTCCCACCTTGGAGCCAGGGATGCTGCAGGGAAAGGAGCCCATTGGGAGCCAGGAGCAGCTCCAGTTTGATGTGGTCCCCCCATGGTGCCTGTCCTCAGTGTCCTGGTGATGGGGACAAAGGGGTTTTGGAGGTGCCATTGGGGGATGCTCAGTGGTACCCTCAGCCTGGCACTGGGAAGAGCAGCATCCCCAACACCCCCCCTGCATCTCTGTGATGCTTCAGCCCATGTCAGCATCCTTGTGCCTGCCTCATGGGTGGGGAAACTGAGGCACGGGGATGGGGATGGGGATGGAGCCGGGCATGGAAAGGGATGCAGGGAAGATGCAGGCAGCTCTGAGGCCCTTGCTTGTGCCCCAGGTTACAGCATCAAGTGCGAGTACACAGCGCACAAGGAGGGGGTCCTGAAGGAGGAGATGGTCCTGGCCAGCGCAGCCGGTGATGGAGCCACCATCAGGGTCGTGGTCCAAGCCCGTGTCATGGGTAAGGGGCTGATGGGGTTGGGTTTGGGGTGGGGATTCCTCCCTGGAGCAGCTGGGAGCAGGGATTGCTCATAGGCTTGGCCAGAGCCCTGCTGCCTTGTGCTGGGCTGGGGAGCCAGGGATGCTCCCTGCATCCCATGAGCCTGCCCCATGCTCCATCCTTCCCAACCCAGTTCAGCCCCCACAGCCACTTCCCACTGGAGGAACTGCTTAAACTGGATGGTTTCACCCCAAAATCCCCATCCCTGGGGGAATTCACCCCCAGAATCCCCATCCCAAGGGCTGAGGCTGTGGAGTCTCCCTGGTGAAGGGGGACAGGGAGCAGGGCTGCAGAGGGTGGCTTGGGGGCATCCCTTGTGCCCCCCCATCCCCACTGGTGTCACCCCCCCATCCATCCACAGCTCTCATTAGGCAGCAGAGTCATTAATGATTATCCTTTCCCCCCCTCTTTGCTGCCTGATGCTTGGTTGATCAGAGCCACGTTTCACAGCTCTGCCCCCCCTGCATTGGGTGACACCGTGGCTGCTTCCACCAGCATCTTCAGTGGGGCTGGGTTTGGGGTCCCCATGCTGGGTAGGGCTGAGGGGTTCACTCATTGTGTCCCCAGCACCTTGTTGCACACCGGGGCTGAGCATCATTGCCATGCAGCTGCAGTGTGCAGCATCCCTGCATCCCTATCCCCTTGGGTACCAGCATCCCCTTGGGTATCAGCATCCCCTTGGGTACCAGCATCCCCTTGGGTATCAGCATCCCCTTGGGTACCAGCATCCCCTTGGGTACCAGCATCCCCTTGGGTACCAGCATCTCTTGGGTACCAGCATCCCCTTGGGTACCAGCATCCCCTTCTGTACCAGCATCTCTTGGGTACCAGCATCCCCTTGGGTATCAGCATCCGCTTGGCTACCAGGATCTCCTTGGGTACCAGCATCCCCATGGGTACCAGCATCCCTGCATCCCCATCCCCTTGGGTACCAGCATTCCCTTGGGTATCAGCATCCCCTTGTGTACCAGCATCCCCTTGGATATCAGCATCCGCTTGGCTAGCAGCATCTCCTTGGGTACCAGCATCCCCATAGGTACTAGCATCCCCTTGGATATTAGCATCCCCTTGTGTACAAGCATCCCCTTGGGTATCAGGATCCCCTTGTGTACCAGCATCTCTTGGCTACCAGCATCCCCTTGGCTACCAGCGTCCCCTTGGGTACCAGTATTCTGGGGTATCAGCATCCCCTTGGATATCAGCATCCCCTTGTGTACAAGCATCCCGTTGGGTACCAGCATCCCCTTGTGTACCAGCATCTCTTGGCTACCAGCATCCCCTTGGGTACCAGCATCCCTTGGGTACCAGCATCCCTTGTATAGTGATGGTGGGAGGGGGAACAACCACCTATGGGCCTCAAACCACCCCCAGAGGGTGAAGCACTCCCCATAGGCCAGCATGGGGGTGCTGTGGCTGTCCCCCAGCTGTGTCCCTGTGCCCTCCCTCCCACAGACCGGCACCATGGCACCCCAATGCTGCTGGATGGGGTGCGCTGCATCGGCGCGGAGCTGGAGTACGACTCGGAGCAGAGCGACTGGCACGGCTTCGACTAGACCCTGCTTCCCTTGCCATAAGGATGGAGCCCATAGGGAATCAGGGACAAATCCCACCCCAAACCCCCCCTGTGTCAATGGGGTCACCGGGAGCTGGGGGTGAAGGGACCCGCTCGCTGCCTCTGCCTCTCTTGCTGCTTTCCCCCCGCTTGCACCCCAGGAAAGGGGCGTTTGGGGGTGCTGGAGCCCCTCAGGGTGAGGCTTTGCCTCTTGGGGTGCGGAGCAGAGCTGGAGCAGGGCAGGGTCCGGCAGTGGAAGGGGTCAGGTCCCCAGGGGTGCCCTGGGATGGAGCCTGTCCGGGTCCTCGTGTTGCAGCCATCGCCTTGGTCTTAGTCCTGTTCCCCTTTCCCTTCCAGTTCCCTTTCCCCTCCAGTTCCCCTTTCCCCTCCAGTTCCCTTTCCCCTCCAGTCCCCTTTCCCCTCCAGTTCCCCTTTCCCCTCCAGTTCCGTTTCCCCTCCAGTTCCCTTTCACCTCCAGTTCCCTTTCCCCTCCAGTTCCCTTTCCCCTCCAGTTCCCCTTTCCCCTCCATTCCTTTCCCCTCCAGTTCCCTTTCCCCTCCAGTTCCCTTTCCCCTCCAGTTCCCTCACCTCCAGTTCCCTTTCACCTCCAGTTCCCTTCCCTCCAGTTTCCCCTCCAGTTCCCTTTCCCTCCATTCCCTCAGTTCCCCTTCCCTCCAGTTCCCTTTCCCTTCCAGTTCCCCTTTCCCCTCCAGTTCCCTTTCCCCTCCAGTTCCCTTTCCCCTCCAGTTCCCTTTCCCCTCCAGTTCCCCTTTCCCCTCCAGTTCCCTTTCCCCTCCAGTTCCCCTTTCCCCTCCAGTTCCCCCTTTCCCCTCCAGTTCCCCTTTCCCCTCCAGTTCCCTTTCCCCTCCAGTTCCCCTTTCCCCTCCAGTTCCCTTTCCCCTCCAGTTCCCTTTCCCCTCCAGTTCCCCTTTCCCCTCCAGTTCCCCTTTCCCCTCCAGTTCCCTTTCCCCTCCAGTTCCCCTTTCCCCTCCAGTTCCCCTTTCCCCTCCAGTTCCCTTTCCCCTCCAGTTCCCTTTCCCCTCCAGTTCCCCTTTCCCCTCCAGTTCCCTTTCCCCTCCAGTTCCCTTTCCCCTCCAGTTCCCTTTCCCCTCCAGTTCCCCTTTCCCCTCCAGTTCCCTTTCCCTTCCATTTCCCTTTCCCCTCCAGTTCCCTTTCCCCTCCAGTTCCCCTTTCCCCTCCAGTTCCCCTTTCCCCTCCAGTTCCCTTCCCCTCCAGTTCCCCTTTCCCCTCCAGTTCCCTTTCCCCTCCAGTTCCCCTTTCCCCTCCAGTTCCCTTTCCCCTCCCGTTCCCTTTCCCCTCCAGTTCCCCTTTCCCCTTCAGTTCCCTTTCACCTCCAGTTCCCTTTCCCCTTCAGTTCCCTTTCACCTCCAGTTCCCCTTTCCCCTCCAGTTCCCTTTCCCCTCCAGTTCCCTTTCCCCTCCAGTTCCCCTTTCCCCGCCAGTTCCCTTTCCCCTCCAGTTCCCCTTTCCCCTCCAGTTCCCTTTCCCCCTCCAGTTCCCCTTTCCCCTCCAGTTCCCTTTCCCCTCCAGTTCCCCTTTCCCCTCTAGTTCCCCTTTCCCCTCCAGTTCCCCTTCCCCTCCAGTTCCCTTTCCCCTCCAGTTCCCTTTCCCCTCCAGTTCCCTTTCCCCCTCCATTCCCTTTCCCCCCTCCAGTTCCCTTTTCCCCCTCCAGTTTCCTTTCCCCTCCAGTTCCCCTTTCCCCTCCAGTTCCCTTTCCCCTCCAGTTCCCCTTTCCCCTCCACTTTCCCCTCCAGTTCCCTTTCCCCTCCAGTTCCCCTTTCCCCTCCAGTTCCCTTTCCCCTCCACTTTCCCTTTCCCCCTCCAGTTTCCCTTTTCCCTTCCATTTCCAGTTCCCTTTCCCCCATTTCCATGTTTCCCCCCAGTAAGCCCCATGGTACCCGGACCAGGAGCAGTGGCTCAGTTCTGACAGCAACAGGAGGCTTCATGTGCCTATATATATAGATATAAATATATAGAGATATATATATACATATACATGGATGTGGGGGGGTTAAGTACAAACCTATAGGGTAAAGAATAAACTGGAGCTTGGGGGCGGGGGGGCTGGAGCCCACTTCACCCCATTGAACACCCTGGGAGCGCTGGGGCTGGTGCTGCAACCCCATTAAACGCTATGGAGGACACTGGTGGAGGATGACAAGGGGCACCCCCTAAGGGTACAAGGGGCTGCAGGATCCCTGTGTGGGGATGGGGATGGGGATGGGGATGGGGATGGGATGGGGATGGGGATGGGATGGGATGGGAATGGGATGGGGATGGGATGGGGATGGGATGGGGATGGGGTTGGGATGGGGATGGGATGGGGATGGGGTTGGGATGGGATGGGAATGGGATGGGGATGGGATGGGGATGGGATTGGGATGGGGATGGGATGGGGATGGGGATGGGATGGGGATGGTTCCAGGTGGTTCTGGATGGGATGAGGGACTTTGTGCCCGTGGTCCATTTCCTAACAGTCAAATCCCAACCCATTGCTATGGGAGGTGCCAGCACTGGCTCCAAGGGGAGCAGCTTTGGGGTGTCCCTGCACCCATGGGTGTCCCATGGGGTGTCTCGGAGCACCCATAAGTGCCCTGAAGTACCTGGGGGGGTCCCCAGCACACAAATGGGGGTCTCAAAACACGAATGAGCATCCCCAAAGCATCCGTGGGTGTCCCAAAATAGGAATGGGTGTCCTAAAACAGGAATGGGTGTCCTAAAACAAGGGGCTGTCCAGAGCACCCATGGGTGTCCCAGAGCACTCATGGGGTGTCCCAAAGAACCAGTGGGTGTCCCAAAGGACCTGTGGGATGTCCCAGAGCACTAATGGGTGTCCCAAAGGACCAATGGGGTGTCCTAAAGGACCAATGGGGTGTCCCAAAGGACCAATGGGGTGTCCCAAAGGACCAATGGGGTGTCTGAAATGACCAATGGGGTGCCTCAAAGGACCCATGGAGTGTCCCAAAGAACCAATGGGGTGTCCCAAAGCACCCATGGGTGTCCCAAACGACCAATGGTGTGCCTCAAATGACCAATGGGGTGTCCCAAACGACCAATGGTGTGCCTCAGAGGACCAATGGGGTGTCCCAAACGACCAATGGGGTGCCTCAGAGAGCCAATGGGGTGTCCCAAATGACCAATGGTGTGCCTCAAAGGACCAATGGGGTGTCCCAAACAACCAATGGGGTGTCCCAAAGCACCCATGGGTGTCCCAAATGACCAATGGTGTGCCTCAAAGGACCCATGGGGTGTCCCAAAGGACCAATGGGGTGTCTCAAAGAACCAATGGGGTGTCCCAAACGACCAATGGGGTGCCTCAAAGAACCAATGGGGTGTCCCAAACGACCAATGGTGTGCCTCAAAGAACCAATGGGGTGACCCAAACGACCAATGGGGTGCCTCAAAGAACCAATGGGGTGCCTCAAAGAACCAATGGGGTGTCCCAAACGACCAATGGTGTGCCTCAAATGAGCAATGGGGTGCCTCAAAGGACCCATGGAGTGTCCCAAAGAACCAATGGGGTGTCCCAAAGCACCCATGGGTGTCCCAAACGACCAATGGGGTGTCCCAAACGACCAATGGGGTGTCCCAAACGACCAATGGTGTGCCTCAAAGCACCCATGGGTGCCCCAAAGCACCCACGGGTGCCACCAGTGCTCAGTTGGAGAGGAAGTCAATGGTGGCCCGCACGCTCTTGGCGGTGCTGATGTCCATGGCGGTCACCTTGATCTCGGTGTCTCCAAACTGCATGGAGGCTCGGATCTCCCTACGGGCACCAGCACCACCACCATGACCCAGTTCATCCAGCTCCAGGCTGACGGTGCCGCACTTGCGCACACCGGGGTCGGTGATGTAGAGCGCGTCATCGGAGGCGCTGCAGTAGACGTTGATGATGGTCCTGCGTTGACCGGGCCGTGCCGGGCAGTAACTGCGCTGCACCACTTCACCCAGTGCCACCGACTGGTCCACGGCCACGAAGCGCTCAAAGACATCGGTGCACCAAGCTCGGCCGCCCTTTACCAACAGCTTCTCCCGTGGGTGCTTGCCCTCAATGAACTTATTGAGGACCCCAACGCCGTAGGAAAGGGGTGAGCGGCGAACGCGCACGATGGTGGGGTCGAGGCCGAAGAGCACGGCGCCCTTGAGGATGGTGAGCCCCACGTCCTGTGGTACCAGGACCCGTAACGCCGAGCCCAGTGCCGACTGCACCGCGCTCTGTAGCATGGGTGACTCGGCGAAGCCCCCCACCAGGAATAGGAACTTGATGCCTTGGACCTCGGGTTTCTTGAGGAGGTTGTCTGGGGAGGGACAAGGGGAGAGTGGGGGGGGTTATGGGGGGGAATGGGGTGGGAAAGACCTTGAAGGTCATCGAGTTCAAACATTAAGGTCAAGTCTGACCATTGAAATCAAGCCCGACCATTGAGATCAAGTCCAACCACTGAGATCAACCCCAACCATTGACATCAAATCCAACCACTGAGATCAAATCCAACCGTTGAGATCAAGTCCAACCATTGAGATCAAGTCCAACCATTGAGATCAAGTCCAACCATTTAGGCCAAGTCCAACCCTTGAGATCAAGTCCAACCATTTAGGCCAAGTCCAACCATTAAGATCAAGTCCAACCATTGAGATCAAGCCCAACCACTGAGGTCAAGTCCAACCATTGAGATCAAGTCCAACCATTGAGATCAAGTCAGCCATTGAGATCAAGTCCAACCATTGAGATCAAGCCCAACCACTGAGATCAAGGCCAACCATTGAGATCAAGTCAGCCATTGAGATCAAGTCCACCCATTAAGATCAAGCCCAACCATTGGGATCAAGCCCAACCACTGAGGTCAAGTCCAACCATTAAGATCAAGTCCAACCATTGAGGTCAAGTCCAACCACTGAGATCAAGTCCAACCACTGAGATCAAGTCCAACCATTGAGATCAAGTCAGCCATTGAAATCAAGTCCAACCATTGAAATCAAGTCCAACCACTGAGGTCAAGTCCAACCACTGAGGTCAAGTCCAACCATTGAGATCAAGTCCAACCATTGAGATCAAGCCCAACCACTGAGATCAAGGCC